AAGATTGCTCCATACATGGAAATCCAGTCCATTGTATGCACCTGAGTGCATTCTTGACCTGTGGGCAGGTCTGGGGGGCCATTTTCTTAATCATTGGTTGATGTGGGAGGGTCTAACTCATTGTGGGCAGTGCTATCTTTGGGTGGGTGGTCTTGGGAGGCAAATCATGAGGAGCACAGCTATAAGCAGCTAAGCAGGGGGATCATGAGCAGAAGAAATGAATTCCTCCATAGCCTCTGCTTCAGTTCCTGCCTTGAGCTCCTACCCTGACACCCCAACATGATAGACTGTTACTGGACAGGTCAACCAAATCATCTCTTGACTCTCAGGTTGCTTTTGTTCAAAATATCATAGTAACAGAGAGCAACATGCATTGTCATTAGCTAATCCTTTGTGCTTTATTTTTCACTAAGACATTCCTGCCAATGGGTTCTTTTCCTAGCTATAGTAACATCTGCTGTGATAGCTGTAGCTGTTAGAGAATGTATAGTTAGTTTCATAACTTACTTAGTGAAGAATAATTTCACAAGTGGGCTAGTTTGCAACTCTTACAAAACTTGTTAACCACTTTCTGCTTGCTATGCTTTTAGGAACATGAATTTAAACATACTCAGTAACAATATTCTTAAAATATATTGTGTTAGATTGTTAATGAACACAAATAGTAGATACAGTATTTACAAATGAATGTTGCGTTGGTTAGTTGTGATCAACTTGACATAAACTTGAGTCACCTGGGAAGAGGGCTCCTCAGCTTCCATCAGATTGGCCTATGGCCATGTCTGTGGGAGCATTTTCTTAATTGCTAACTGATGTAGATGGGCCCAGACCACTGTGGGTGGCCCCATCACTAGACAGGTGGGCCTGAACTGTTAGAGTAATTGAGCAAGAAAATAAACGACATTTCTTCATGGACTTTGCTTCATTTGTACTAGATAAGTACAGCGTGACTCATCAAACGATGATGAAATATTAAAAAAAATGAAATATTGATAGGATCTACATCATTGCAGATCCTTAAACATACTATGCTGGTGACAAAAGCCAGTCACAAAGAAAACCTATTGTATGATTCTAATTATATGTAATGCCCAGAATATGCAAATGCATAAAGGAAAATTAGATTAGTGGTTGCCTAGTGCAAAGAGTTGGGCAGGAGAATGGAATTAATTGCTAATGGTTACTTATGTTCTTGGGAGGATAATGAAAATGTTCCAAAACAGATTGTGGTTAGGTTTGTATGGTTCTGTGAACATGCTAAAAGTAATTTGTCTGATGTAAATGATAGATTATATGTAAATTGTTTAGCTACTATGACCTGTGTTGCTTCGGTATTGACCTGTGTAGTTTGCATACTGGAACTGTGGCATTGACACATGTAGAGTAAAGCTGGGATCAAGTTCTGCTACTTCCAAGGGAGGGTACCTACTATCACCATAATATGAGCCACTATAACCAGAACCACAATATGTTTAATAGGCACAGGGAGAGGAGTTAGCCAGCCTTGGTAGGGGATCTCTGTAGGTGAGCAGTCTGAGGCTAAAAACCTTCAGTAGAGGGAAGCAGTAGTTGCTAGTCCTTGAACACCCTAGTCAATTGTACATAAACAGTCAAACACTATCTGGCACTCCTCTTCAGCATGGCCATATGGAGAAATGACTTTGTCAGTTTCCCATGCATCAGAGGCTTTGGCCCATATCAACAAAACACATTCACTAATAACTTCACTCACTCCGAATATCTTCTACTTTTAAAAAACAAAGATTGATATTCTTTTTATGCTAAGTTCTAATGTAATATTTTTTTATTGTTGGGGTTTTATGCTATTTTTTTTAATCCTCATACATGAGTATATTTTATCTAAGCCCTCCCATGACCTCATCACTCTCTCTCATGTTCATGACCACTTCTTTTTAAATTAATATACGTGTATTTAGGGATGACTGCTTGAAACTGAATAGCCTATGCGGGGGGGCTTGTCCCTGGAGAAGGCTCATTCTCCCTCTCTTGGCGGCCATTAATTGTCTGTAGATCTTCATTTAGGAGTGGGGCTTTATGAGATGTCTCCCATCAATACTGAAATGTCAACTGGTGTTTTCACTGTGTAGGTCTTGTTTAGGGGACCATATTGTTAAGAATTCTTGAATGTGACTGTCGTTTATATAGGATACTGTGTTATAGCATTTATCTTGGTCTTCTGGCTCTTACAATCTTTTTTTTTTACCCCTTTTGACCATGTTCTCAGAGCCTTAGGTACAGAAGTTTTATTGACATGTATCAGCTGGGATGGGCACCTCATATTCAGTTCTTCTCTACATTTTGACCAATTATATATTTCTGAAATACTCATTTTGCTGCAAAATGAAGCTTTTTTGAGGAGTAAGAGCTCCAATTAGATGGTTGTTGATTACCCCTGAGATATAAGTGCTGCTTTTGCACCAGGAAATGTGTCTTGCCACGCTGCTCGTTGTTATGGTTCGTAGACTTTTCAGCAGGGTCAGACTCCCTTGGAACTTTTGGATTCTATGAGAACTAGCCCGCAGGGAAAAGCCTTCCAGGTCAGTTTCAGTTTGTTTTCTCCAATCCTGTGTCTAAAGAGTGTGGTCTTTAAAAATTGAGCCTTATCTTTAAATTCCCATACATAAAATAGAAGAGAATCTTTGCCAATCATACATCTAATAAATGATTGCTAATCAGAATATACAAAGAACTCAGAAAACAGTCAAGAAAACAAATTGCCCAATTAAATAGGCTGTAGATATGAACACAGAAATCTCAAAAGAAGACAGAAAAATTGCTAAGAAATGTCTTTCAAAGTGTTCAGTATTCTTAGCAATTAAGGAAATGCAAATTGAAAGTACTTTGAAAAGGAGAGCTCCCCTACCAACCCACTCCAGCACATTCTGAGTGGTAGGGAAAGGGGTGATGGTGAAAGATGGAGGGAGAGGACTACAATTGGGATGTAAAGTGAATAAAAAAATAAATATAAGAAATATTTTTTTAAAAAAAGGGGTTGGGGAAGAAGTACCATAAGTTCATATCAGAGACAGCCCCTCCTCCCTTTACTAGGAAACCCACTTGGAGACTGAGCTGCTTATAGGCTACATCTGAGCAGGGGTTCTACATCCTCTTCATGCATGGTCCTTGGTTAGTGCATCAGTCTCTGAAGGCCTCCCTGAGTGCAGATTTTTTTGGCCTTATTGGTATCCTTGTGGAGCTACTGTCCTCTCTGGGTCATGAATTCAGTTGCCTACTCTTTGATCACTTACCCCTGGTACAGTGGCCTTACACAGAAAGAGGATCCAGAGTCCTAATGAGACTTGATAGGCTAGGGTCAGCTATTAAGGGAGGAGGACTCCCCCTTTTCAGTGGACTCAGGGATGGGGATAGGGAGGAAGTGGGAGGGAGGTGGCTACAATCTGGATACAAAGTGAGTAGATTGTAAACTATAATAATATTTAAAAAATTTTAAAAGTAACATGAGACTACATCTTACCTGGTCAGATTGGCTGAAATCAAGTAAACAACTAACAACTGTGCTGGTGAGCATGTGGAATAAGGAAACCTCATTCACTGTTGGTGAGCTTAGACACCAGTGTAGCCGCCATAGAAATCAGTAAGAAGTCTCAGAAAAGGTAAAGGCAGATCTACCTATGACCAACTCTTACCCTTGGCATATGCCCAAAGAACTCAACATCCTACTTCACAGATACTTTCTCAGCAAGGTTCATTGCTGCTCTGTTCACAATAAATAGCTAGAACATAGGAAAAAACCTAAATAACCTTCTACTGATGAATGGATAATGAAAATGTAGTTCATATATACAATAGGATTCAGATCGATTTTTAAAATGTGAAATGATGAAATTTGCAGGTAAATACCTTTTTTTTGCCTTCTTCTTGCCAGATACCATGTCACTTGTAATTTCTACTGTTTCATTGCCTTGGAGTGTGTCCTTGTCTGGCTCAGAATTTACTCAATTACTTAATGGAAAAGAAACAGATCACATAATCTCTTACACCAGTTCTTAACCTGTGGTTTGTGACCCCTTTAGGGGTTATATTACCTCTCACAGGGCTTGTCTAAGACCATCAGAAAACACAGATATTTATATTACAATTCATAACAGTAGCAAAATTACAGTTAGGAAGTAGCAACAAAAATAATTTTATGGTTGGGGGTCATCACAACATGAGGAACTGTATTAAATGGTCACAGTATTAGGAAGGTTGAGAACTACTGCCTTTGTTTTGTTTTGTTTTTGGACCTGTATATGGATCTGTGTTTCAGTGAGCCACTGGATATAGAAAACAAAACCATTTCTTTTAACCAGTACTGAAACAAAGACACTAGAGCAATTAAACTTAACTGAGTGTAATAGAACAATGGGTGATTCATGAATTGGTAAATCTTCAGAGCCAGAGGAGGTCTGCCTGTGAGGTGGGCACACAGCATTCCTAGGAGGTAAAATGAAAATGAGATACAGAAGCAGCTCCCCTGCTCACCATTCATAATGAGCATGGTCTTACCATCTGGCCGTTGTGAATCGCTGAAACACGAGCTTTGTGAGGATAAGCTGTGCTACCAAGACACACTTTTAAATTAAGCTCTCAGTTTAGATCCTAGAATTACAATTCATCAGATAGAACTCAATAAAGAGCAACTTCAGGCCACATTTACTTCGCACTGGGTGGCTGAAGTTCAAATCCCAAACATTGCTACTAGTTAGCCTTGAACTGTCCAGATCATTCTGATTTTCTGTGTCTTCTCTCACACACACAAATGAATAAGACTACCCACAACAAAAGGTATTACGGCCATTTTATGCAGAAAACTTTCAGCATTCGTAATATGTTGAGTATTTGCATAATTCTTGTTTGTGTTGATTATTTACGATGAATGGTTTCTAGTGCTTCTCCCGGGAAGAAGCAGAGCCTCTGTTTTGACTGTTAGTTTCTCATGCTCACAAGCACGGTTGATGTGTACTGTTTTCTAACAGGTGCAACATAAACGCTATGATGCAATTCTTAAGCGTTTGCATTGTCAGGTGAACAAGATTCAGCTAAATAGGAGAAAATGGCAACAGAACATTGAACAACTGAGAAAAACTGCAGCTGAGTTAAAAAAGCGCATTGGAGTGAAGGAAGCCAGCGAAATACTGAACAAGCCAACAGCATTGTGGGAAAGAACCCTGTAAAGCTCTTTCAGACTCTTCACAGCCAGCGCCAGTATCAGGGGCCTGTCTCAAGGACAGATATTTTCTTTTTCTTCTTCATTTTTTTTGTTTGTTTTGAATCAGGTATGTGTTGGTTCAAGTGCCTCCCAATCTGTGTTGCATCGCACTAGGTAGACAACACCGGTGCCTCAAGGAAGCTACCAAAAGAATGTGTGTGCATATTTCAAACCTGCAGTCCTGAATGCCTGCTGCTAACGATGGGGAAGTCAAATTTTTACCCTACAAAGTACAAATTTAGAAGAAACAGTTGTATTTTCAATGACTTAAATTGTTGAGATATTTAAAGAAACTTTTTATTAGTTCTTTTTATATAACTGTCTTTGCAATAGCCCTTGAATATTAATATTCATGATAGATAATGCCATTATATGTTTAATGCATCAACTATTTTATTGTTTCCTCTTTTCTCCAGAAGATAGTCATCATTTTCCTTTGGTATTAAATAACATATTTTAGAGTGTTGCAGTACATAAGATTTGTGTTTACTCTTCAGTCTATAAATTCTTTATTCCTATATTGTGACTAAAATAAAGTTATAGCATCATATAAGATAAGCATACAATAAAGCTCTTTAAAGAGGTATTTCTCCATATTGAAAGGCAAATTCTTTTTCAATGGCAATAAATTGAACATAAAAACACCTCTGAAGATAAAATTGCTCTTTCATGCTCTGTTGATCACAACTAGAAAAAGGCAAAAATAAAGTATTAATTACTAAAGATACAGTTTAAAAATATTCACTTGTAGGATTAAATTATTTCAAAGAAGCAACACTGAGACATTTTGAATTCATCTTCTCACCTTCCTATGTGTCTAACATTTAGTGAGTGTGTAGCCGATAGAAAAACCTGATATTAGTAATCTCATTATGCCTGGTGATAACAGTCTTAGCACAGGTTATCGTGGCTTACCACAGTTAACACTTCAAATGGCTGTTGCTGTAACATAATCAGCTTTGTTCTGTCACTCAGAAGAGCTACTGCAAATAGAAATGGTTAAGTTTGCAGACTGTGAGAGCACTCACTGTGCTCAGCTGGAGACAAGCTTGAACCAGATGCTGCACGTCTAGATATATGTTAGCATAATATGCATTTTAAAGTCCTAGTTTTCTCATCTCCTTTTAAGTTCATAATTGTGATCACTGACAGCTTGAGTTACTGTCACAGGAAAATGCAGTGAAAGAACAAATAGAGGCAGACAGTGCTCAGGAACCCCAGAGTCGGGTCCATCCGAGCCTGCAGAGTATGTTTTATTGTGGATGGTTGGAGGTTCTTTACCTATTGCCCTGATAAAACATTATGACAAAAACAACTTGCAGAGGAAAGGCTAATTTTAGTCTAGAGTTCCAGGTTTGAATTCATCATGGCAAGGGAGTCAGGGCATCAGGAACTTAATGTAGCTCATTGTATTGCTTCCACAGTCAGAAGAACAACAAACACACACTTTCCAATGCTCAGTTTCCTTTCTCTACCCTTATGCTGCACAGAATGCCCTGCCCCTGTGAATGGGATCATCCACAGTAGGTGGGTCTTCCTGCCTTAAAGTAATCAAGATCATGCTCCCAGATATGCTCAGAGGGCCTTCTTTCCTCTAACTTCTGTTAAGATGATAGTTAACCCTAACCATCTCAAGGAACCACTCCAGAAGCATAGTCAAGGGCAGCTGCAAGACTAGGGAATCGCCATGACTTGGGTCAGAGGGAGGAGGCATTAAAAGAGTGGTTTTCTTCTAAGCCGAAGTGCACCTGGTTTTATCTCAAGCTAGTGTCAACATCAAGCACAGTCATACTGCTGATGTGCCAAATCTAGTCTTATAGCTCCACATAACACCTTTTTGTTTTTGTTTACCTATAAACAAAAGTGATGCTAGGAAACTATGCAGGGGGTTGAGAGGCCAAGCAGGGCTTCTTGGAGACAATCATAGCAATTATGGTTGAAGACCTGAACTGACATCTAGTCAAACTGGAACCCTCTAGTTATATATTTGAAACTTATTTTTAACATAAATATACAAAGCAAATAAAGCTAGCTGAGATGAGGATCATATTTGAGAAAACAATGGTCAGTATATTTTTATAATGACACATACACTTAGTTCAACTTATGATAGTTAAATTATGTGAAAGACAAGTTCTTTTTAATTAACTACTATTTCAAATAATGGAGACTTTCACAGTGATCAAGAAGAAATAAGCTGGGTATGCTAGCTCAGGCCTGTAGTCCTAGCATTAATGGAGAGGCAGGGCTAGTACAGGAGTTTCAGGCCATTCTGGGCCACATACTATTTCAGACAAGCCTGAGCTTCCATAGTCTCAATGAACAATCAAACTAAAGAACCATATGTGCTGGGGGGTTTTGTTTATTTGTTTTGTTTTTGTTTTGTTATTGTTGTCAACTTGAGATACAAGCTGGGGTCATCTGGAAAGAGGAAAACTCAATTAATAAAATGCTTCCATTAGATTGCCCTGTAGGCAAGTCTGCGCATCATTTTTTGACTAATAATTGGTATAGGAAGGCTGAACCAACTGTAGACAGTGGTACCCATGAAAGAAAGGTTGAGCAAGCCATGGAGAACAAGCCAGTAAGTGGTGTTCCTTTATGACCTCTGCTTCAGCTTCTGTCTCCAGGTTTCCACCTTGACTTTCTGCCCTAACCTCCCTTCCTGATGTAAGATGAAATAAACCCTTTCTTTTCCAAGTTGCTTTTGTTTATACTGTTAATTATAGCAACAGGACACAAACTAGAGCACCAACCAAATTAAAATAGCTCTAAAATTTGAAGCATAGTAAAAGAGATATTTCAACACATTAATAAAGTCTAATGTTAGAAATTGTGTTGTTTTTATTTCTATACAACACATATAGAACTAGAGTTTTATATTAGGCTCTTTTCTGTTACCGAAAATTTTCTGTTACAAAATGCCCAAATCTGGGTACTTCTAAAGAAAAAAAAAAATTATTTAGGTCACAATATTGGTAGCTGAAAGTCCAAAAAGCACAATACCTGCTGTAGTCAGGGATTCCTTACACTGTCCTCACGTGGTGGGTAGGGAACACACACAGAATGACAAATTACATCGTCAAATATCAAGTCAAGAAGCCACTAGGGATTAAGTGGATCCCAGGAAACCTGTCTCAATCTCTTCTGAGGGCAAATAACCAAATAGGGAAGAGCCTTCCACTAGGCCTTGTCTCTTATAAGACTGCACCACCTCAGCATTACCACAAGGAGGACTAAACTCAACACATGAGCTATTGGGGAAATACTTTCAAGTGTAGCCAAACTGTGACAGTATCTTTCTCACACAGACTTCCATTTCAAACTCTTAGGTAAACACTCCTTTTATAGCTTTTTTTTTTTTTTTTCTCATTAGAGGTGGGTTAAGTTCCTGGGGAACCTAAGTTGCTTTGTCAGCAGGGGTGGAGCTCCTGGGTCAAGCACCATGGTTTTACCTCCCTGGCCTCTGCAGAAATGTACTCCAGCTGGTCTCGAACATCATCTGCTTGTGCTGTGCCTGCAGATGCTTGCTGTAGTCATGGCCAAGAGGTAGGTTCCATTTCGACCATGCCTCTTCTAGTCACTTGACTCATTGCTTGATTTTCCAAGACACCGCATACCTGCACAATCACGAACCCTCCGCTATTCAGTTCTGTCTTTGTGTGGGCTTGCCAACTTTTATCTGACTATAAGTTGTTATTCTAGCCATGTATTCTTCTACTCTTATTTCTGCTATAAACTTCTGTAGTTCTTTTTGCTTTGAGTGACTCAGCAATCTTTCTCTTTCTCAAAAGCGTCAATCTTCTATGATTTCTAGATATTATGTCTGTTGTGGATCTTAAACAACCTAATATGGAGCTCCAAACCAGCAAGCCAGCTCTTTGTTTTCAGCAGCATCTGCCTAGAGCCTGCTTGGTGTTCCTACCTAAATGCTTACAGCCGTGTAATAAATGCAAGAACACAGCAGGAAGAAAAAAAAATAACAGCAATCACTACCTCACAGTATTGACTTTCAAAACATACATTCCATGGGTAAATTAGAGTTAACCAATGTGAAGAGACTGGTATTTTCTTGAAAGCCCTATTGCACGTGTTCAAGCCAGTCATGACTGATATTAAGATGCTTTCATGACTGATATAAACGACTTGTACGTATTATCTTTGGACTAATCTCTCCCAGGCCACAGGCTACTGGTGCTATTTTCTAAAACGCTGCATATGTGGGGTAATACCAAGCAGCAGTACGATGTTAAGTGAACATGTTCCGCCTGATTTGGCAAGTGGTACACATTATTTCTTTTCATTCTCAAAAAAGAAAAAAAGCTCAAGGTAGACAGAATTATCTCTGATTTATAGTTGGGCAAATGCGGGCTTAGACAAGCCTTGCCTAAGATATCATTGCACAGTTCAGCAGGGGGCAGAGGTGAAGCTCTGAGTTCGAGTGTATGTGCATGGCCCCACAAGGAAATGATTCTAAAAGAAAACTTTAACTTAACTATAACAGGCGATGATATTTTGTCTATATCATTTTTTTTCTGGACTATAGGCATAAAAAAAATTTGACCAAAGAAAATTTATGGTTAAAACTGAGCAGCACTGAAAAGCACAAGTAATACTATGTAAGGATCAACATCCGAAAAGACATTTTGGTTAAGGAAAATGGAATTTGGTTTATAGAAATTGTTATGAAACCTTTTAAAGTTTGTTCACACAGGAGATGCCCCCGAAGCCTTTATCACCTTGTACCAAACAGAATTCACTGTTCATCCATAAATGTTGCTAAAGGCCCATGCTAATATGATTTGGGACTGTCATATTGGCAGGCTATTGATTCAAGAGTGTGTGTACTTTTGATTTGCTAGATGCTCATTTTTTAGGTGGTCATTCAATATTGTTAAAATTTTATTTTATCATTAACAAAGCTAATGATTGCCAAAGCTAATGATCAGAAACGAAATACTAGGTGACTGTAACAAATAACCCATGTTATCTGAATATGTAGGGCATTTATAACAGGACCATTTTTGTCCTTTGCCGATAAGTTTGGCAAGGTCAAATGAAAACAGGTTTTCTATATCATATTAGCTACAGTGTGGCACTTTCTCTTTAGTATTCCTGAGCCCCAACCAAAGACAAGAACAACAAAAGTTGGAACAGATACTCAGAAGAATAGATCCATCCAACATATAGCCAAGAATAAAATGCTACACATTACTTTTATTTTTTTGTAACATTACCTTTAAGTGGTAGCTATGAGCTCTAGCTCTTTAGAAAAAGAAAGCTAGCGTATGATTTGGTAATGACAGGGTTG